AATTGCTTCACGGGATATGGAAGAAAATATTGAAAATTTAGATGTTAAAGTTGCTGAGAGGTTGGATGATAGGCTTAGTATGATTGAAGATACAGTATGTAAGATTGGAATGTATGAATACAAGTCACCAGTATACACTAGTACTGTTAATTAACTGTATAAGCGACTACCTATTGATAAATATCTACTTGCAATAGTCTGTTGATTATGTATTTCAATCATGTAGAGAATTTGTTAACCATGCAAAATCCACTATTCCAACAGCATCTGCATCGATAAACAGACACTGGACTTTCAAAAGTCTATTCTTTTGCGTTCAAATGCATATGTCTTACCTTCAATTGTCAGTTGTCTCATAAGTAACGTTAATTAATGAGCTCCAAATGTTTATCGCTAAAGACGTTTTTCGGAAGCGACGCGTCGCGATATGAAAGCCTCCAAATGCGTGATACATCAAATTATTATTATATGCAGTTGGTCGATTACTCCGACTTCGTTATTACCGTAAACTAATAATAAGGGTCCCCTTCATCATATAAGGGGGCTGTGGCTTAAAAACAATGCAAAATGATCTACCAATCATCACGTAACAATTGTCCGCGTTATCTATATGATTTTCGAACTGGCACATCAAATTTTAACGATTTCTTTGACAAAACAAATATTTCTGAATGGTCATGTGAAAACGTTGTTAAGTACTACCGGGAGCATGTTTCGCAACATGAAAAACTTGTACACCACAACAGCAACCGCAAATACTTTGATCATAATGCTTAACAAGCCCATTATTACAAGGGCAACATTTAATCAATATTCCGCGCACATTATTTGTGCCTTCAATGCAACAATGTATCTTGTTAAACAAACTACAGAAAAAAATTTATACGAGGAAATCGAAAGAACTCTTCAGACACGAAATAAATTAGGTTTAAAGGACTTTATGCTTAAGAAACTTGGAGCAATTTTTCAGTCGGACTATTCAGAAATTTTTTCCAAAATAATCGAGGAGACGGCAACTGAAAAAGACAATGAAGCAACTGAAGAATCAAGGTTTCTCTTTTTCATAAGACACACGTTACTTGATTTTGTCGCAATGTTTAAGTATCTGACACCGAAGGTTCTGGATTAGGATAGGGATATGAAAGAAAGGTCATATACTGTATAGGCGAATGCCTTTCACCAATTCTACGTGCTTTCCGAAATGCTTTTCCTGAAGTGAAGTATGAATGGATTGAAAAGGATGTTGAATCAATTAAGAAACTTAATGAACTACTTGTTCTGAGATTATCAGATGCTTGTGAATTATTAATGGTCAAAGTATCAGGGCCTCCTCATAAATCTACTAGAAGACATACAGTGGGCGACGCGAAAAAATTACTTATGATGGCTGTTTGCAGTCTGTGTAGGGTACTTGCCAGCAATTTAAATTGTCCAATTAAAGATGCCAAGAAAGTAAGAACATACAGCATTCAAGCCATTGGTAATCGGATTACGCTATTTGCCATTTCCCTTGCCGCGAAAAAGAAGTATTTAGCCATTGAGTTGGCGTCATGTGTAGTTCCGTTTTCATATGAAGCAATCACCTGCTACACAAGAATCTTTAATTTTTTCGCGATTATCCGAAATGAATTTATTGAACAAGAAAAACTACAGAGAAAAATTCGTTCGTTTATTCCTTCTGCTGATAATACTGAGGATTTGCGAGAATGGTTACATTTATCCGACGACAATTTAACACCTGTGGCGGATAATGACATGGATGAGCTCTTTTTATGAAGTAAAATTTATTCGAAATTATAGAATCACATTGGATATATTCTTAGTCTAGCACATTTGTCAGCTAAAAATTTGCAGTTAAGAATAAGTGTGAATTATCCATCTAAAAGAATAAATGTGATTCTGTATATAAACAGCTTGTTGATAATAAAGTTTGCTTACATATTTTTAACTTGTGAATATGAATGCAGAGCGTATATGCATATACTATAGTCTCTATGCATAGAAATAAATTATTAAACACTATAATCGCTTCTCCCATATTAATATGATATACTGTATTATGCTTACAAAACTATAAGCTTGTCGTTCAATTTACTCCCACATTATAAGTGTGTGTTTTTTGTCGATTGTGTATCAGTAGTTATATTGCGCACAGATATTCGCACTCCTCGATTCTCTAAGCTGCCTTTTGCCATTTACTACCACATCTCATTAATATGATTGTCAAGTATTTTCGATGTAAAATTGAGCGAGTAATGTATGTTTTTAATCGTCCACTTTTTTTCGTAACGAAAAACACACTGTATTTTGATGATTTAGATGAATCCAAGGCTCTGGGCTTCGCCCATTCCGTATAATTAAACAAAACCGTTCCCTTTTCGATACAACCAACCTCTTCTAACCTGGATTTTATGTAGGTGACGCGGAACATCGATGCCCCTCCCCAAGCTGACATTAGTTTAGCTAGTAAGTTTGCATGCTCTTGTCTTAAGTTTAATTCGGATTGCATAAACATCTTATCACCAACGTCGATATTAGACAAAAATTAATACTAATCATATTCTATAATGGTATGTTTATAAAATAATCGCTTATAGTAATACAGTCAACTGCCTTTAATTCGTCCCTCTTTAATTCGGCCCACGATAATTTTGTTATGTTACTATTACTATATCGGGAATTGTCTTCAGTTATTTTGCGATGGAGTCTAGTACTAGGACATCAGCAAACGGTTCATAAAAAAACGGTAGTGATTCTAAAATTGATTTATTGACACAAGTTTGTAATTTACGGATTCTTTGAAGTTACTATTACTGACACAGGTATCAAATGCGTCCCCATAATATAATGCAGCAGGACAAAAAAATGACTTGACTTTAATAGTGAATATACGTGCCGAAGAAATTGTATTTAACGTACGCAGGTTGCTTCGGTATGACGTCAATCCATGCGACAATTCAATATCCAAGACGCCACATCTACACTCTTAATTGTTATAGAACGTAGCTAATGTACATATTAAGTTTATGTAAATATAATTGTATATATTATTAATCGTTACTATTATCTATAAGTAAATTAAAATGCACTTTTTGACTATTATTAATAATGCTAATATAATTTTAATAAATCATACAAGAAATAACGGCAATAATACTGAGTATAAATTTTTAATGTGTAGTAACAGTAACACGTTCAAATTTTAATATTGATATGTTCTAGAGAACGTAGTTTGTAAATAATCGCTCTCCTGATAGAGGAAAACTTGTGTCCATTGATTGTTAGAAATTAAAATGTTCGTGTGTTAGATTGGTTTTGTACAACACTTCTTTACGTACTCTAAACATATTAGTGTTAACAAAGTCATGACTTCATTGTCAGATATTATTAGCTTTTGCTTTCAATATGCGATCTATTCTTAGTAACTTATCAAGCGGTTGATATAGCTGTACACTGGGCTGCCAAGTTATCACAGCATAACATGTAATGCCAACGCATGCATCGCGTGCATGGCTGCAAAAATTTGAAACCTTGATCCATTTCGACATGGTATAAAAACTCAACCCAGCATTTTTTAGAACCATAACTTTTATAAATATCCACGGAAGGGAGCATAATCTATCATTACTACAACGCTGAATATTGATAAATTTTAACACAGAGACATTGCCTTTATTTATTATATGAACCAGTTTATTCATTACCAATACTAAAATGTTTAGATAATAGCAGAGCCTGTCTACTAGGGAAATTTCGAGGAGTCCTGACAAATATAAATAATATAAATAGTTGGTAAGCAAATAATAATAACTAAGAAAAAAAAAATATGATTTCAGCGAATTTTTCAAAGACGAAATTAAAAATAGGATTCGGCGAAATTTTCAATGTGATTTATGGCCGAAATTTTATCTAAATCATGCGGATATGAAGTGTCAATAACAACGGCAGCATAGAAATTGCTTCCAACATTATTATTATTCTTATTATACGATACTCTGTTGTATTCTATTTAGCATGTTAATTGCTGTAGTAAATTTTTTAACCAATTGCTAAATTCATAATAATCACATCGTCTTTTCAGCTGTGCAAGAAGTGATAAAATAATTCTCAACTATGTGTCCATTTATCTACTACCGGTGAGTCATTTCGTTAAAACTTCTATTTACGGGATAACATTCACGTATCACTGCATAGTCTTACATTAGTATGTGATTGGGTATCCAGCATATAAAGAGTAAAATTTGGCCACGAGAAGATGGTGTGCTGATATGTGAATGGAATCGTAAATGTTAAACTTAGATGCTTTTGCAATTGTTTACTTTCTAAATGTATTTAATAATAATATGTCTTTTGGAGTTCTGGAGTTCTGGAGTTCTGTGATCATTTACTTTTAATAATAGGATTATCATGAATAATACAAAGTGAGTTATAATGATACATAGAATCCAGCAACTGACAAAAAATTCTCCTTAAATAATCCAGCTGTAATAATACCATTCAGAATAACGCGGTAAATACTATGTTCCCAACCCACTCCGGTTTAACGGGTTTCATGTAGTTTATGTCTTTCACTGGGTTCACTTGTCACTAGATATAAAAGTTCCTTTTTCACCATGTATTCATCATGAATGCACTTAATTTTCCCTCCTGCAGCAACATCTTCATGCCATTCAATCTCCAGATTTAAAAGATTGGATAAGTTGCCTCTCCTCTCTTCCTGTCCAATCAAAGTCAATGAATTTTACTTGATTGTTGTTCCCAACCATGATATTAGGGCTTCATAGATCTCCATGTACAAAACCTCTATCATGTTATAACTTTATGGTTTTTTTCACTGCAGTCTCAACTTCAGAAGTGATTCAAAGAGTGTTGTAATTTAAGCAATTCCATCACAACAACATACCATTCACCAGGAATTTTTATAAAGGCTAGCAATTTTGGTGCTATCCCCATTTGTACTTGGTAACAGGCAGAATGGCACATTTCAGAGTAATTCCTTGTAAACTTTACAGCAACTTTAGACAGCCCTGATTCATCATTTTATTATTATATGTGCCTCAAAGATGAGTATCTGCTTAATATATGTTAGTTGTGTTGGTTTTCCATCTCCACTGTTAAAAGTTTGATTACCTACAAGCTGTGTTCAGCCCTCAGGTCTCAAATAAGCACACCATTGTGTCAGGTAGTATGCTGTTGAGAGCAGAATAAAGTGCCACTTGAAAACTGGACTCCTGTGGACCATCCTTGTTTTGCACCAGCCTATCAATGATTGTGGCAGGAGAGATATTTTGGAGTCCAAGCTCCAAGAGATTGCCAATATCTTCCTTTGATAGGTGATATATTAGTTGTGGCCAAACACTGTTGATGCTAACACACAAGAGGATGCCACTTGTAAAACAGACCATTTCGTTGGTAGACATGAGGATGCCAATATTGAGGAGATACTTAATGAGATCATGGAACTGGCTGGGATCAAGCTTCCAAGGATTCATCTGATTTTTTGTGAGGTCATAAACATGTGCCCTTTGTTTGGTATTCATTGAGTCCAGTGTCTGTTTGACTTTTCTGTGAGTCCCATTCATGTAATAATTGAGATTCTTCTACAACATATAAACCCAATTGCCTTGGTCTGGCTGACACTGCAAAACAAAATCATGAAGGATGCCAGGTGACCACTGGATTCATCCACAATCTTGCTTTGAATATATTGAGAGAGACCATTTGGGTTGCATAGTTTTTTGTACAGGTCAAAAAGCTTGCCCATCTCTGCATGCATAAAGAATGGCATCTCATGAAATGCAGTCTTGTTAATATTAAAAGGTGAGTCAACCCTCCAATGAATATTACAGTAGGAAGAATAAACTGAAAATAATTTGGTTTGCTCTACTCTGTAGATAAAATGTAAACATATTACAGTATTACTATGTCTAATGGGATGTATGAATAATTCCCAATAAGCATGGTACCACTCTATGACCCCTAATATGTGTAGGAGACCAAACATATAATGCATGCAACGACATTTTGAACTATTCTCTCTCTGCTGCTCTATTAAAACCATATGTCTACTCTACCCTAAGTACACACTACTCTATGTCCTTAATTATAATGCCTGAGTCACAAAGTCATTACCTGCAGAACTTTGTTGGAGGTGGAGCTTCTCCAATTCCAACTTTTTCTGCTCGAGCTCCAACAGACAATCAAGGTTTTCTTGAGTTTGTAAGTCTTGGGGAAGTTTCTTGAAGTCTTCCATGATGACAAAGACATGTAAGTTTGATGGGAAGATGTGCTGTGCAATGTGATCTAATATACTACTTAATACTGATCAGTGGCTTAATCAATGACGTATTATGAGGAACTTTCTAGACCTTTTACTATTCCCTGTATGCAAAATGTAATCAATGATAATTAACGTGCAGAAATTGCATATAAAGATCACATTTAGAGTGATTGTAATAACAATTATTTGTAGTATATATGACAGCACAATGATATGAATGGAGACCTTGTTTTCATTAAGTTGATTTAAATATGCATTGCAAGATTAACATAATCAGATATTTACAATAATTGATACATGTAATTTGTCATATTGACTTTATTATTCTTTAAAAAACAATGTACTAGTATATCAAAGATTCACTAGAGCGATTGCATGGGAAATACTCGGACCCAAAGCCATTGATGAGTATCCCTATACTTTGGTTGCTCTAGTGAAATCTATGTTATATATTATTATACATGCTATTAATGTCTACATTTTCATGTTACATTTTTATATAGAAATAATCCTATATTAATCATGTATAATTTTAGATAGTAGAAGTTTGCTACATACAGCCCCCTCCAATAAATGACGGAGTGACACAAGATTTTAATAGTAAAACATATAAAAAGTCTTTGTTTTTAAAAATCTCTTCTGCTCTTGTGTACTATGTAAAGTGCAATAATTTTTGTATAGTTCTGAAGCTAATTGATTATGCTTTTCGAGAAAAATAACAATAAAATTTTATAAGTTATCACTATTAAGCTGTAGCAAGTTGAAGCAGCTGTATTTAAATTACGATATGAAAATATATGATTGTATATGTATTGCACGTATACTCACACTCGTCGAGCTATTAACTTATAACAATAATTTATAAAAATTTATTGTTATTATTTTTCGAAAAGCATAATCAATTAGCTTCTGAACCATACAAAGATTATTTCACTTTGCATAGTACACAAGAGCAGAAGAGATTTTTAAAAAGAAAGATTTTTTATATGTATTACTATTAAAATTTTGTGTCACTCCGTCATTTATTGGAGGGTGCTGTACATAAATTCGTGTATAAGTTACAGTGTGATAAGTCAAATTTAGTTACTTTCAGCCACGTCAGCTTCTCATTTATGTCACATAATGGAATGTTCACTTTGTCTGGCATGCCCATATTATACAGCTGCAATTTTCTATCTGTACCAACGTAATGAGAAACAGCAAATTAACCCTAACCTATATGTAAGTAATCCTTAGCGCGGTCACAGAATTCTACTTACATAAGATCACGTGACATGCTTCTTATTATTATAGAAAATTTTAACAGCTGACAATCCGCGTCAAAGAGTCTTTTAAAGACTAAAAAAGTCCAAGAAAAAAAAAAGAAGAAGAAAAAAGAGATGCTATAGCTATACACAGGCAAACTCGATAAGTCGGTCTCTCGATGATTCAATTTTGGCCTAAGAAGGCCAAAACTTCCCAAGCCCTTTCCTCAGTTTTAATATTTAAAATCTCTCGATAAGTCGGTTCTCTCGATAAGTCGGTCCATCATGCATGACCGACTTATCGAGTTTGCCTGTGTACCTTCCAACATTTCTCACAATCAAATAAGCTTAATAAAATTTTTTTTAGCATAAATCTATCAGCAATTCTATCAGGCATAAAAGAAGTGTCTGCGGCAGACTTGTTCTGTCGGAAGCCAGTGATGGAGAGACATTATAAGATGGCCGGCTAGATTTTACTGCTCATAATTGGTTGTTACCCAAAGCGTCTGCGGGCAGACTTGTTCTGTGATGGCGAGTCATTATAAATGGCCGGCTTATGAGTGAGATTAGCCCATTCATTGATTGTTTGACTGAGCTTTTACTCAATAAGATACTATTTTTTTCTTATTCATAGAAACTTTATTTGAACGCGTTGTTTTCATGATATAATGTTCTACTTATGAGGCAATCTGAAATTTATTCGATGATTGTTGATTGTCAGTAGCATCGCCGTGTTCGCTCTAATATTCCTTGGATTTCCTGTACCACCATCCTCGTAACGAGGCAAAGGTGGAGTCGGAGGTGAGATTTAGGATTTGCTTGCACTTAACTTAAGTGTTGTCAATTAACCTTACACTTACGTTTATAATCCTTTACATTGTAAATTTGCATCATAATTCTAGTGCGACGCTTTCCCGAGATTTTTTCCCGTGACGAGGCAAAGATGGAAGCCAGAGGTGAGATTTGCGCTTAAGTGTTGTCAATTAAACACTTACACTTACGTTATAATCTTTTACAAACGCAAATTTGCATCGTGCCCTTCATTAATTCTAGTTGCAAAATACATCTCGATTCCTTCACATAAAAAAATCGGTCACAGCCCGCGATACGTGATGTCTACACTAATGTACAAATGTCTTACGACCGATTATTCCTTAATAAAATTTTTTTGTCCTCACTTCTTACTATCACAATCACTTCCCATAACTTTCTTTACATCTCGGCGCAGTTTTCCAAAATATCCTCGGTAAGAGCAATGTGGTAGTCGGCTTTCGTGCGATGTAATATCTGGACTATTAGACGGCTAATCCATAATTTTTGGGTATCGCTGCATGAGTAGTTTCCTTAGCTTTATGCTTCTCTTGTTGGAACATCCAATTGTTTCCCATAATAGCATTTGCATCATCAAAAAGATTTTCAGTTAAAATCGTACTGTCCATAATATCTGTGAAAAGAAAAAAGCCAACAAGACCTTTTACTGAGAAGGCGTGAACTTTATAGGGGTGTTTTACCGTGGCCTTACTTGGAGGTTGAGTGCCATTTTTGTAAAATATTTTTGGAGTATTTCGAAACATCTGGAACGTAGTTTCATCAGAAAATATGACCTTGTTCCAATTTTGTTTCTTGTATTTTATGGCAAATGCCACTATATTTGTTATGAGTGGCTGTAAGAAGAGGGATGGGTTTTGGAACTGTGGCGTGATATTGGAGATTATGGAGCTCATTGAGTACTGTCACTACTAAATTTAAGTTAGGAATGATAATCATTTAAAGTATTCGCGAGTTTAGTGCTCGTAGAGTATTTGTTTGCTGAGGCAAGCTAGCCGAGATGCCAACGCTGTTTAGGGGAAAACTTTCTTGGCCTGGCAGAGGATTTAAAGAAGTATTATTTTGATATATTTGTATACAGTGGTAAGTGGAATAGAAGTTAATTTGTGCAAAGTGTCAGCATCACGCGTGCCAGCCTCCCACAAAGAGGTTATTGTCATACGTGTATAATGTTGTGGCGACTATCACAGGAGAGCAGGTAATAATTGACACTAGGAAGTTAGCTAGTTTCGGCAGAGCGTGGCGTCTCCTTCTCTAGGTAAACCTCGGGTTACAGTTAGTGACCTTGTCCAACCAAGCCTTTGCACTTACGAAAACCTTCCCGTCGTAAAGTGACGCTAATCCTGGATATACTAATTGTACTCGAGTATCTCTGTCAGCTCCTAAGATGGGATTAATTCTTAGTCTACCAGTTGGGGTAATAGTATTTTAATTATAATAATGCGCATCTACATAACAATTAATTATCGTAATTTGCCACTCGAATAATCACGGGACAAGAGACGATTATTCTTAATCGATTAGGGATTAGCGGTTTCTCAGCTATACCGATAAGTTACCAGGGAATGAATTATTAACAATGTATATCAGAGTATAAAGAACTACTCATTTATTTACAATAAAGGAATCGAAGGTAATTAGAACATTCTAAACATGCACTTTTATTGACACTAACTGAAATATCTTTCGAGCGGACTAATTGATCTATTTTAACGTTGATTAAGCGAGGGTTTGGTCATTGTGTGTTGAATGTAAAATTAGTAAACGTGTAACAAAATTTAAAATGCAGTCGCGTTATCTAACAGATAATCAGGAATTAAACCGACACGTCGTACAGCCCATAATGGAGAGAAATAGGAAGTTACCCGACATGTCGTACAGCCCATAATGGATGAAGTTACCCGACAGGTCACACATCGACGATTATGTCCTATAAAAACAGTAAGGATCTACTATTAACCCCATAATATTCGAGCCTGTACAACGTGTCGGGTTAATTCCTGATTATATCTAATACTAACAGGCTTTGTTAACACGTGTTATTATTAACAGAACTGGTTGAATATGACAAATTTTATTATGATACATTTTATTCTCATTACTTTTTTCGTACTCCTATATCTAAATATTTAGTACGAATGTACAAGCTCGCGCTGAAAGTCCCGCAACTTATCTGTAAAAAACCAGG